GACTCGTCAGGAAGTTGCTTCACTCCGAAAACCCACCTGGACGTCAGGACGTTTGATGCTTGAGATCTTGGAACAAGTGTCCATGTTTTGTTTTTGTGTTGTGAAGCAAGTTCTTTGTCGATGCCCTTCTGCCAGAAGCGAGCTTTTGGAGAATCCATAGCTTCCTTGTACGAGTTTGGAATTTCCGTTATCACATGGGCGTGGCTAAGGAGTCCAGCAGTCACCAAAGCTGCTGCCCACCACGCCCCAGGCGTTTTGCGAACGCGAGTGGACCGACGGAGATTAGTTGGCGGATCAATCGTTTCTTCCTCAACTACGTGTTGCTCAACTGTTTCGGTGGTTTCGTCCTCCCCTGAAGTTGGGGAGGAGTTGGAGGATTCATCAGAGTCTTGTTGTTCATCCGGCGATGATGCTTCTGATGCCACTGCATCATTTTCTGCAACTTCCTCATCGATGCTCAAGTTGATTGTGTCATCATCAGTTGTAGCCTCGTCGTTTGTGTCCATCGGTTCACCAGATTTGCCTCCCGTGGACTCGTCAAAAGTAACATCTCTGGATACGATCACTTTGTGCAAATCACCATCCCACAACTTGTAAGCTTTCGTATTTTCAGCATACCCCAGAAACATTGCCTCCTTTGCACGGGCGTCAAGTTTCTGGATGTTGTGTTTTGGTAATGTATACCAACACTTCGAACCGAAAACACGCAAATGACCAACATTTGGCACAGATTTCATCCATAAGTGGTATGGGGTCATCTTGGGGGGAATGGCACGTGACGTGACTCGATTTCGAACGTACACTGCATTGGCAAGTGCTTCTGCCCAGAACCCCTTTGTAACTTTCTTGTGCGCTAGCATGGAGCGCACCAAGTTTACCAAAGTTCTGTTCAGTCGTTCGGCGACGCCATTTTGCTCCGGTGTGTACGCGGTCGTCATTTGATGCTGAGTACCATTTGCAATCAGAAAAGACTTAAACTCCGTGGACAGATACTCACCACCTCGATCGGTGCGAAGCACTTTGATCTTGCGACCAGTGTGAGTCTGAGCAAGTTGTGCAAACGTTTTGTATCGTTCAAATGCTTCTGATTTATGATGCATGGGGTACACTACTGACCAGTTTGAGTGATCATCTATGAAGGTAATGAAGTACTTGGCACCACCAATGGACTGCACCTCTAAGGGGCCACAAACGTCAGAGTGAACTAAGTCTAGACAGAAGTATGCCCGCCTCGAGGACCGCTCTTTTGGGATCACAGATCGAGTGGCTTTGCCGTAGACGCACGCAGAACATTTTTCAGAGATGCAATCATTGTTAGTATTGTTGATTTTGTTAGCCTCATTACCAAGTAGTTTGACTCCACTTACCACATTGTCACGAATCATCGAAGCAATACCTTGAGAATGCACATGTGCAAATCGCTCATGCCACGTTTGCAGGGTGGCAGCATGTGCAGATCCGACGTCACTGACGATGTCGAGAACGTAAAGTTCTCCAACCAATGTCGCAGTCGCCACTACAGTTGAGCCTCGTCTGATCATGCATTTTCCATTTTCGAACCCAACTTTTAGTCCAAGTTCAGTCATTCGACTGACAGAGAGTAGAGAGAACGCAAAGTCCGGAACGTGCAATACATCCGTCAACTTGCACGGTTCGATGCGGCCATTCACATTTAACTTCAAGTGAACGTCACCACGGCCGGCAACCTTTGCACTAGCCTTGGTTCCCATCTGAACAGAGGCGGATTCAAGTGGCTCATACGTCGCAAACAAAGATCGGTCATATGTAATATGAGCTGTACAAGCTGAATCTACGAGCCACGAAGGCGACATCTCCAGATCGTTCGTGCGCGAAGCTTTCGACATCAGACATGTGAAGTCGACGCTGTTTACAACCACGTCGGGATCAGGTTTCTGTGTGACAAATGCAGATTGTTTCCGCTGAGACATACGCGGTTTATATCCGCTAGGAGGAGCCGGGCGACGCCCATTCAAATCCTTTCCCCAGCAGCGGGTTGCCGTATGGCCTGTATGACCGCAGTTCGTGCATTTGTAATCGTTTATGTCCCGATTGTTCGGGGCACGATTAACCAGAGCCGATGTCTGTGAGGAGCTAGACTTCATGTTTGCTCGTTGCTCTTCCTGCAGCAGACGACTTTTCACAAAGTCCAAACTGAATATCTTTTCCTCATTACCGAGAGCATCAAGTGCAACGATGAGAGCCTCGAAACGGGCAGGCAGACCGTTGAGCACTGCCATGGCCATCTCCTTGTCATCGATGTTTACGCTCATTGACTTGAGGATGGCTGCCAGCTGCTTAACACGATTGATGTATGCAAGCACCTTTTCACCGGAAAGCATCTTCACAGTGTAGAACTCACGACGTGCAGCTAGTTTGTTCAGCAAAGTGTGCCTCTCAAACACGTTGACAATAGCTTCCCACATCTCATGAGCGGAATCAACATCACGTACATGCTCAAGATGCTCATCTGATAGGGAGAGACCAATCAGTGCTTTAGCTTTACTGTCACCTCTAATCCACTTCTTACGCTCTTCCGCGCGTTCCTCACTTGGAACTCTTCCCTCAACGATGTATTGGTCAACATCACGTAGAGCAAGCAGAAGTTGTATTTTCTGCTTCCACACGTAGAAGTTGGAGTCCGTCAGTTTGTCGATTCTGATGGATCCTCCTCCTCCTTGATCTTCCATTTTAGTGCAAATAAACTTCAAGTATTCGAAATATCCGTTCGGGGATCCCAAGCCGTCAACCGATAGTCAACACAATGGCAAGCCCACCCGTCTAAGAAGTTCGATATGATTACTATGAAGTTGCACTAGGAGAAATTTGCGAACAGATATGTGAATTTATTTGGATGAAATCCCTAACTATTCTGTTCACAAACTACCTTTAAGTGTGCAGCACCGTTCTCGTGGCACTTGAGGTGCCCGTGAGACTCAAAGACGCGATTGCAAGGGATACAACGCGGAGTCTCCTTAGCGTTGGCAACTTGAATGCGATGAGACCTAGACTGAATGTGGTCGTAAAAGGCCTTCGCACTATTGCCACTAACGCCGCACACTTTACAATACCGCTTATACCGCGGGCACACCTTACGATTCCTCTTGCGCTCACGCTTAAACTCTTTATCCGCGAGAACAGCCGCTTTCCGAGCAGAAAGTCGATGCGTAGTTCTCTTTATTGGTGCGGGAACAGAGCGCGGAATACGAGGAATCCTATATGGTGCGCTGCTCGAGGAGGGACCCGGAAGCGCGAGCCGAGGCGAAGGTTGATCCTCAGGCTCAAGCACCTCAACGGATACGACCTCCGATGTCCGAACCGTTCGACCGGTGACCAGCTTCCCAGGCGCAGAGCGCACCGGTACTAATTCCAGATCTAACACAACCCCGTAAGAACAGGTATTCACAATAAGGAATATGAAGATAATCGTCAGTAACAGATTTTGGAATTATTGCTCTTAAGAACCACCAAAACGTGCAAAGACAATCACTTAGATGTGTAGGAAATGGAAAGAAACTCAAAACTTACTTTGCATGAGAGAACGAAGAAAAACCAAATGCGAGATTGACGACGACGGCGGTAGCGGGAGCGGAAACGAAGACGAAGACCAAAGACAGAGACAGCAGCAAGAACCACAGCAAGAACGAAAGCCAAACCAAGAACGAAGACAACGAAGACAGCGGGGGCGATGACCAAAACCAATTCACACAATAGAGCAAGAACGACAGCAGCAGCGAAAACCAAAACCAAGAACGACGGCAAGAACGAGAGCGACAACGACAGCGAGAAGACCAGCGGAAAGAACGACGAGAAACGGCAGCGAAAACGACAGCGACAACGACGGCAGAAACAACGGAACGAGAACGACAGACTCATGCAGTGAAACGACAGCGAGGGACTGGGCCCATAACCTAATGGTAGGTTCGGAGGGGCAAGGGAAAGAAGGAGGGCAGGTTGATGTGTGTGAGTGAAGGAGTTGGTGCCGAGGTTTACTTGGAGCCGTCTTTCGGCGATACTTATACACTTTGAGTGTTACACTATCCCATTACTTTGGCACCTCGTAAACCGTACTCACCATATGCGCGACCAAGCGCGGTCCTCTTCTGGCCCGTCCACACTGTTCTATTTCCACCTTACGAATTGACTATTGACTATCAGTGCACAACAGTTTCTACACATTTCCAGTGACTGTAAACCATGGCCCTACGCATGCAATCGTTTCACACCTTACTAATCTGCATCCAGACATGACAGAATATATTCTTTCGCAATGAACAACTTGGCATCTCTCTATTTCCAACAACGCAAAGTCCTGTCATATCTCAGTCCCCATACATGCCCTTGTTTCGTACCTTACTAATTTCGGTACACACTGCCAGACAACTATGACGGATAGCAACAATGTGCATCCAGACTTTCTACACATCTCACGTGATATCCGATGTGAATCACACGAGTACTGTCATCAACTTGCATCCAACGGCGCACCATAACGAGAGCACAGTACAACGTCGCATGCTGACGAGACTGTAGTACAACGGCGCATGCTGATGCAAGGGTCGCATACAGCGTGACGCATACACTGAATACTCACGTAAGTACATGTCTCTTGCGAGAAATACTTGTACTTTTAATTCACATGTACTGTGCTCGGGCACGCGCCGGACCGTATGTAGGCGACGTGTACAAGTGTACGTACACGCAGCAACCTGGCGATGTGTACATGTGTACACCGCACACAAGTGTCCAGCGCCAAGGCCACACGTAATTACCCATTACAACCATGGTGAACAACTTGAAACCCCCGAAATGATGTAATTAATACGTATACCGATCATTCAAGATATATCACCAGCATGAGTGCATATAAGTGGACAATAACAGACCAATACAATTGCAGCATTCGAACCGACACCCAATAGATTTGCAGTATTGCCTCTGTAGCCCTATAACGGTTCGGGCCAAATGAAAATTTTCGGCATTTATGCAAATTTGCATGACCCTCCAAAAGTCCACTTTCGTCCCCAGAACCCCAAAATCTGAGACTTTACACGTGTCATGTGGTAATATGGGGTGAGGGTCCGGACCGTCGAGTGAAGTACACGTGTCGCTCGATTTTGCACTTTCCAGATAACAGCACTGCATCATTTTCTGCAACTTCCTCATCGATGCTCAAGTTGATTGTGTCATCATCAGTTGTAGCCTCGTCGTTTGTGTCCATCGGTTCACCAGATTTGCCTCCCGTGGACTCGTCAAAAGTAACATCTCTGGATACGATCACTTTGTGCAAATCACCATCCCACAACTTGTAAGCTTTCGTATTTTCAGCATACCCCAGAAACATTGCCTCCTTTGCACGGGCGTCAAGTTTCTGGATGTTGTGTTTTGGTAATGTATACCAACACTTTGAACCGAAAACACGCAAATGACCAACATTTGGCACAGATTTCATCCATAAGTGGTATGGGGTCATCTTGGGGGGAATGGCACGTGACGTGACTCGATTTCGAACGTACACTGCATTTGCAAGTGCTTCTGCCCAGAACCCCTTTGTAACTTTCTTGTGCGCTAGCATGGAGCGCACCAAGTTTACCAAAGTTCTGTTCAGTCGTTCGGCGACGCCATTTTGCTCCGGTGTGTACGCGGTCGTCATTTGATGCTGAGTACCATTTGCAATCAGAAAAGACTTAAACTCCGTGGACAGATACTCACCACCTCGATCGGTGCGAAGCACTTTGATCTTGCGACCAGTGTGAGTCTGAGCAAGTTGTGCAAACGTTTTGTATCGTTCAAATGCTTCTGATTTATGATGCATGGGGTACACTACTGACCAGTTTGAGTGATCATCTATGAAGGTAATGAAGTACTTGGCACCACCAATGGACTGCACCTCTAAGGGGCCACAAACGTCAGAGTGAACTAAGTCTAGACAGAAGTATGCCCGCCTCGAGGACCGCTCTTTTGGGATCACAGATCGAGTGGCTTTGCCGTAGACGCACGCAGAACATTTTTCAGAGATGCAATCATTGTTAGTATTGTTGATTTTGTTAGCCTCATTACCAAGTAGTTTGACTCCACTTACCACATTGTCACGAATCATCGAAGCAATACCTTGAGAATGCACATGTGCAAATCGCTCATGCCACGTTTGCAGGGTGGCAGCATGTGCAGATCCGACGTCACTGACGATGTCGAGAACGTAAAGTTCTCCAACCAATGTCGCAGTCGCCACTACAGTTGAGCCTCGTCTGATCATGCATTTTCCATTTTCGAACCCAACTTTTAGTCCAAGTTCAGTCATTCGACTGACAGAGAGTAGAGAGAACGCAAAGTCCGGAACGTGCAATACATCCGTCAACTTGCACGGTTCGATGCGGCCATTCACATTTAACTTCAAGTGAACGTCACCACGGCCGGCAACCTTTGCACTAGCCTTGGTTCCCATCTGAACAGAGGCGGATTCAAGTGGCTCATACGTCGCAAACAAAGATCGGTCATATGTAATATGAGCTGTACAAGCTGAATCTACGAGCCACGAAGGCGACATCTCCAGATCGTTCGTGCGCGAAGCTTTCGACATCAGACATGTGAAGTCGACGCTGTTTACAACCACGTCGGGATCAGGTTTCTGTGTGACAAATGCAGATTGTTTCCGCTGAGACATACGCGGTTTATATCCGCTAGGAGGAGCCGGGCGACGCCCATTCAAATCCTTTCCCCAGCAGCGGGTTGCCGTATGGCCTGTATGACCGCAGTTCGTGCATTTGTAATCGTTTATGTCCCGATTGTTCGGGGCACGATTAACCAGAGCCGATGTCTGTGAGGAGCTAGACTTCATGTTTGCTCGTTGCTCTTCCTGCAGCAGACGACTTTTCACAAAGTCCAAACTGAATATCTTTTCCTCATTACCGAGAGCATCAAGTGCAACGATGAGAGCCTCGAAACGGGCAGGCAGACCGTTGAGCACTGCCATGGCCATCTCCTTGTCATCGATGTTTACGCTCATTGACTTGAGGATGGCTGCCAGCTGCTTAACACGATTGATGTATGCAAGCACCTTTTCACCGGAAAGCATCTTCACAGTGTAGAACTCACGACGTGCAGCTAGTTTGTTCAGCAAAGTGTGCCTCTCAAACACGTTGACAATAGCTTCCCACATCTCATGAGCGGAATCAACATCACGTACATGCTCAAGATGCTCATCTGATAGGGAGAGACCAATCAGTGCTTTAGCTTTACTGTCACCTCTTATCCACTTCTTACGCTCTTCCGCGCGTTCCTCACTTGGAACTCTTCCCTCAACGATGTATTGGTCAACATCACGTAGAGCAAGCAGAAGTTGTATTTTCTGCTTCCACACGTAGAAGTTGGAGTCCGTCAGTTTGTCGATTCTGATGGATCCTCCTCCTCCTTGATCTTCCATTTTAGTGCAAATAAACTTCAAGTATTCGAAATATCCGTTCGGGGATCCCAAGCCGTCAACCGATAGTCAACACAATGGCAAGCCCACCCGTCTAAGAAGTTCGATATGATTACTATGAAGTTGCACTAGGAGAAATTTGCGAACAGATATGTGAATTTATTTGGATGAAATCCCTAACTATTCTGTTCACAAACTACCTTTAAGTGTGCAGCACCGTTCTCGTGGCACTTGAGGTGCCCGTGAGACTCAAAGACGCGATTGCAAGGGATACAACGCGGAGTCTCCTTAGCGTTGGCAACTTGAATGCGATGAGACCTAGACTGAATGTGGTCGTAAAAGGCCTTCGCACTATTGCCACTAACGCCGCACACTTTACAATACCGCTTATACCGCGGGCACACCTTACGATTCCTCTTGCGCTCACGCTTAAACTCTTTATCCGCGAGAACAGCCGCTTTCCGAGCAGAAAGTCGATGCGTAGTTCTCTTTATTGGTGCGGGAACAGAGCGCGGAATACGAGGAATCCTATATGGTGCGCTGCTCGAGGAGGGACCCGGAAGCGCGAGCCGAGGCGAAGGTTGATCCTCAGGCTCAAGCACCTCAACGGATACGACCTCCGATGTCCGAACCGTTCGACCGGTGACCAGCTTCCCAGGCGCAGAGCGCACCGGTACTAATTCCAGATCTAACACAACCCCGTAAGAACAGGTATTCACAATAAGGAATATGAAGATAATCGTCAGTAACAGATTTTGGAATTATTGCTCTTAAGAACCACCAAAACGTGCAAAGACAATCACTTAGATGTGTAGGAAATGGAAAGAAACTCAAAACTTACTTTGCATGAGAGAACGAAGAAAAACCAAATGCGAGATTGACGACGACGGCGGTAGCGGGAGCGGAGACGAAGACGAAGACCAAAGACAGAGACAGCAGCAAGAACCACAGCAAGAACGAAAGCCAAACCAAGAACGAAGACAACGAAGACAGCCGGGGCGATGACCAAAACCAATTCACACAATAGAGCAAGAACGACAGCAGCAGCGAAAACCAAAACCAAGAACGACGGCAAGAACGAGAGCGACAACGACAGCGAGAAGACCAGCGGAAAGAACGACGAGAAACGGCAGCGAAAACGACAGCGACAACGACGGCAGAAACAACGGAACGAGAACGACAGACTCATGCAGTGAAACGACAGCGAGGGACTGGGCCCATAACCTAATGGTAGGTTCGGAGGGGCAAGGGAAAGAAGGAGGGCAGGTTGATGTGTGTGAGTGAAGGAGTTGGTGCCGAGGTTTACTTGGAGCCGTCTTTCGGCGATACTTATACACTTTGAGTGTTACACTATCCCATTACTTTGGCACCTCGTAAACCGTACTCACCATATGCGCGACCAAGCGCAGTCCTCTTCTGGCCCGTCCACACTGTTCTATTTCCACCTTACGAATTGACTATTGACTATCAGTGCACAACAGTTTCTACACATTTCCAGTGACTGTAAACCATGGCCCTACGCATGCAATCGTTTCACACCTTACTAATCTGCATCCAGACATGACAGAATATATTCTTTCGCAATGAACAACTTGGCATCTCTCTATTTCCAACAACGCAAAGTCCTGTCATATCTCAGTCCCCATACATGCCCTTGTTTCGTACCTTACTAATTTCGGTACACACTGCCAGACAACTATGACGGATAGCAACAATGTGCATCCAGACTTTCTACACATCTCACGTGATATCCGATGTGAATCACACGAGTACTGTCATCAACTTGCATCCAACGGCGCACCATAACGAGAGCACAGTACAACGTCGCATGCTGACGAGACTGTAGTACAACGGCGCATGCTGATGCAAGGGTCGCATACAGCGTGACGCATACACTGAATACTCACGTAAGTACATGTCTCTTGCGAGAAATACTTGTACTTTTAATTCACATGTACTGTGCTCGGGCACGCGCCGGACCGTATGTAGGCGACGTGTACAAGTGTACGTACACGCAGCAACCTGGCGATGTGTACATGTGTACACCGCACACAAGTGTCCAGCGCCAAGGCCACACGTAATTACCCATTACAACCATGGTGAACAACTTGAAACCCCCGAAATGATGTAATTAATACGTATACCGATCATTCAAGATATATCACCAGCATGAGTGCATATAAGTGGACAATAACAGACCAATACAATTGCAGCATTCGAACCGACACCCAATAGATTTGCAGTATTGCCTCTGTAGCCCTATAACGGTTCGGGCCAAATGCAAATTTTCGGCATTTATGCAAATTTGCATGACCCTCCAAAAGTCCACTTTCGTCCCCAGAACCCCAAAATCTGAGACTTTACACGTGTCATGTGGTAATATGGGGTGAGGGTCCGGACCGTCGAGTGAAGTACACGTGTCGCTCGATTTTGCACTTTCCAGATAACAGCATGTGGTCGCACATTTTCAATACTTCTCGCATCGCACATCCTTTCGCTTCGGATCTGAGAGCGCGGTTGCTGCATGAATACACCGGATTACTGAAAAGCTGACCACAAGTCTACGCTTCACTTCTCTTTCACATCCAACCTTGTTTCCTCATCCACACGGCATAACTCTACATTTTCTACTCCACCGTCCATTCGCAATATCTCCACCCCCTCTACATGCCACTTCGAACTCCTCTGCCGCCCGTGAAGCATCCTGACATCCACGTATTCCATGATGGAACCAAATCAGGAATTACTGCCCATGCCACTTGAAACCGTACGGCGAAAACTAGGAGAGCTCCGTCCAAAGCTAACTCCCACCGGAATTTTTCCTAATTATCTCAATGTAGCGCGACCCCCACCCATTCCAGAACAGATCGCGAAACGAACGAACACAAAAAAGGATAAACGAAACCCGTCGTCAGCCAAAGGGAAAGACACGAACTCATATTTCAACGTACTTCGGGAAGTCGGAAACTTTGTTCGCGATCACAATCAGAAGCATGCGAACGACCCTAATATGCAATACAGGTGGTATGGCACCGACGTGGAAGATAAGAACAGGGCGGAAACTCTCATGCGCATTGTTGCGGATCTCGCGCCATCCGTCATAGGTTCACTGTACGGAATGAAGACATATGACATGCTCAGAAGAAAAAAGCCGGAGCATATAGAGCTGTTGGTTTTGATGACTGCCCTAGATGAGAATTTTGATCCGTTGCCACAGGGAGTGCGGATATTTCCAACTCGCAAGATGGTGGCTGCAAAGCTATATTCGAAAGGCAAGGTACAGAGGGCAGCCGAAGAACGAGAGAGCAAAAGAAACCTTCAAGCTGTGGGCACATCTGGAAGTGGGGAAGTCGCTCTAAACGCATCGGAACAAAAGATAAAAGTCAGCTTACCTCGATACAGCATTGAAGATGTGCCGTCAGGCGTGGTAGTGCAAGACATCTCACCCGATGTGGAACCTATTCCACCCGTTTCCGCTGCTGTGATGAGCAGTGCCATCACTGCGACAGAGAGGCAATCTGGATCTGTTCGCTTTCAAGGCATTCGGACAATGATTCCGGACGGCTCATACAGCAATAGTCTTATCGAGAATGGAAGCGATTCTAGAAATACCCACGAACAGAATATTGACGAGGTTACAAGCGCCCGGACACGGCCATCGAAGAACAATAGTACTCCACCTTCCCGCGGGAGCAGTACGGGTGTCGTCAACTCGCTACCGATCGGATCATCTTCCCTGAAAGCTCCGCTGCTAAACGACAGTGGGGCGCCGCCAAGAGCTAGAAGGAAAATCAACTTTTAGCAGAGACTTTCCATTCCGCGTCAATCCGGAGAGAAGGCATCTAGGGTGAGAGTTAACACGCTGGCGCGCGGGCGAAGAAAGGATAAGGAGGAAACAAAGACTAGAGGTTAGCGACCGAGTCGGCGTGGATCCAAAAAAGTCCAAGGGAATGAGGAGAACCAACGCGATGAGTTGCTTGCTCGTCCCAAAGACGCATTACATGCACATGATGATGTTATGGTCGCAGGAGCCGTTGAAAACCTGGCGGAGAGAGCTCCGGAACATAACAGCGGTCGCGCATCAAGCGTCTCTGCTAGAAATGGCAAAATGCTTGCCGATTTCCAAGCTTGGCTGGAAAGCCGCGATGCAGCTCCCGAGCCGACAAAAGCGAAGTGAAGCGGAACGCAGAAAAGGGGCAACAACAAACGTGTCACCGGGGAAAACGTAACCGTGCTGACATGTATTCGGGCGATGAGATCGACAATGAGATCGACAATGAGAGTTTCTCGGACGAAGAAAGTTCGTAGTTGGTAGAGCATCTCAGTCTCTATGGATAGCTCGCATGTCGCATGTGAAACCCATATGATAGTTAGATACTAAGCACGAAACTTAGTGACTGTGTTCTTGATGCGTAAAACTTCCTGATTGTATTCCAAACGAACCCGAACGACTTTGGTGAAGAAATTTATTCCACAGGTCACTATTTCATTCAGAATAACGTCAAATCCCAAAATAAATATCCAAAGCCTCGAGAGATGGAAAACATTTCGAAGAGGAAGCGGACGGCCGGATCCAAGGGGTCGCGAAAGCGCAAAAGAGTTGAGTTGTATTCAAGCGATGAGTTCGGAACCTGCACTGGCGAAGAGTGAGCGCATTAAGTGAATGAAATGTTCCTCAAACATACAGAGTGATTGAGCAATGAAAAAGAGCCGTGCAGCCTTACAGTTAGAGACAAAACGGAATGTAAACGCTAGCAAGTATATTTCGAAGTGATTATGCAGTAGTGGTGCGGCGGGGGGGGGCCAGGGCGGATGGCGGGGGGGTGAACGGGGAGTACTTAACGGGGCGTGCAGGACGCCGATGCGCTAGAAGACCTCGCGCGCCGAGTGGACGCGGAAGGGGTAGACGTGGTGCGAATTTTCGACGAAGTCGGGCGGGGCGGGGACGTAGGCGACGAGCGGGTCGCGCACGAGGGCGGCACAGAGGGCGTGCGCCGCGGCGC